GGGGTGGGGTTTAACAACCAAGGTTTGTTTTTAAGGTTGCAGTTTTGAAAAATGATCTAAAACCTCTGTTGCTGTTCACAATATATATATACAACTCACATCACCCAAAGCAACCATTTCAATATGTACAATTCAGTGACATTGAGTGCATTCTTCAAGGTGCACAACCATTCTTGTCCTTTTGAGAATTATTCATCCCCTATTAACAGAAAGGAGCTCTGGTAGTGTACTGGATTGTGCACTGGGCTGCTAAACACAATGTCAGCAGTTCAAAACCACCAACCACTCCTTGGGAGAAAGATGAGGCTTGCTATTCCTGTAAGAAGTTAACAATCTTGAAAAGGCACAGAGGCAGCTCTACTCTGTCGTACAGGATTGCTGTGAGTTTGGAATCAATTCCAGGGCAGTGAGCTTAGAGCTTATTAACATAAACTCACTGGCCCCAAAACTGCCCATCTAACCTTTCCAAGTTGATGTTGTCAATTTATAGGAGCCCTGGTAGGACAGTGGTTAAGTGCTGCTCAGGTGCTAACCCAATAGGTTGATGGTTCAAGTCAACCAGCAGTGCCCTGGGGCAAGCTATGCTTTAAAAGCAGTTTGCTTTTTAAAGATTTACAACCTTGAAAAAACCCTGTGAGTCAGTTCTACTCTGTGCTATGGGTCAAAATCAACTCAATGGCCAAGTGGTGGTTTTTTGTTTTGTTTTTATTCTTCATTTAAAGAAGGCTTCAGGATATGTTTTTGGTTTATGGTTTAGAGATAGTACTGACTTAATGTTCTGTAATTTAGTTCTGTAGTTCCTAATATCCATTGCGATGACAACAGAACTCAGACAAAATTCTTCATTCAACAGTTTATTAAAGAAGTTAAATTGTAGGGATCAGGTATCAGGCATCAAAGAACAAAAAATCATATCATTGTGAATGAGGGGAAGTGCAGAGTGGGAACCCAAAGCCCATCTGTAGGCAACTGTACATCCCCTTACGGAAGGGTCTCGGGAAGGAGACGAGCCAGTCAGGGTGCAGTGTAGCAACGATGAAACATACAACTTTCCTCTAGTTCTTAAATGCTTCTTCCTCGCCACTATCATGATCCCAATTCTACTTTACAAATCTGGCTAGACCAGAGGATGTACACTGGTACAAATAGGAACTGGAAACACAGGGAATCCAGGACAGATGATCCCTTCAGGACCAGTGCTGGGAGTGGTGATACCAGGAGGGTGGAGGGAGGGTGGGGTGGAAAGGGGGAACTGATTACAAGGATCTACATATAACCTCCTCCCTGGGGGACAGACAACAGAAAAATGGGTGAAGGGAGATGTCGGACAGTGTAAGATATGACAAAATAATAATAATTTATAAATTAGCTAGGGTTCATGGGGGAAGGAGGAGGGGGAAGGAGGGGGGGGAAACGAGGAGTTGATGCCAAGGGCTTAAGTGGAGAGCAAATGTTTTGAGAATGATGAAGGCAACAACGAATGTACAAATGTGCTTTACACAACTGATGTATATATGGATTGTGATAAGAGTTGTCTGAGCCCCCAATAAAATGATTTTTAAAAAAGAGAAGTTAAGTTGTAAAGCCAATGAGCAATGTTCAGGGTAGTTTTTTACGAGGACATGTTACATATAGTTTCAGGTCTGCTAATAAGTGCCCAGAGGGGCAAAGCACTCTGCTGTAATCCTCAACACATTCAGCTCAAGCTCCTTGGGTCAGCAAACCCAGTTCCCTGAATTAAGTGCCCAGAGGTACCCCATTCCAGTAACCCTATGCCCAAAGGCACTAGGCTCCACTTTTGTGAGTCAGCAAGTTCCCCAATTAAGTGCCAAGAGGCATACCACTCCACAAGCCAGCCTCTTGCACAAACACACTCGACTTGCCCCATGGGTTGGGAAGTCCATCACTCTGCCCCATGCTCTGGCTCCCTGTTCTACTGCTGCGCCTCCAATGGTATAGCTGTCATCTTGATCCAAGAGGTTTGCAGTACAATGATCTCAGACCCAGAGGACGTACTCCTCTCCTGACTCTTGCTGGTGATGTGATGATCCCTCCTCCTGCTTCTCAGAGGCTCATTTTATACACCGCAGGATGCCACTCCAGGGAATCCCGTTTGCAATTACTTGAAGGTGAATCCTATCAGCACCTCCCTCCACCTTCTTCCCAGATCCATGAAGGGAAAGGTTATTTGGTGGAAGTTAGAGACTGGCTAGAGGAGCCACATTAAATAATTCACTGGCCCTACAGAGATTACCTAAGGGTCACAGTTTCAGAGGTTCATCCAGTCTTATTGGCCCCAGAAAGCCAATGTGTTTTAATAAAGCTTCCAGATGATTCTGGGACTCATTAAAGTTTGAGACTCACTGCTTCCATGGAGGCCCCTTGTCAGTAAGCCCATCCCATCCCAAGATGCTTCCAAGCAACTTTTCAGTGCCTCTGTTTACTTGGAAGGCAGGAATCACCAGAGATTTAAGGAAAGACGCTATAGTCAGAGGGAGAGACCAACACAGATACCAAAGTGCAGCTGATGCAAAGGGAAGAGGCAAGAGGCTTGCTTGGCTTCTCCCCTCCCCCCATTATCACACTGCTACTGAGCTGCTCCTCAGGTGCTGCACAGTGCTTACAAACCAGGGCTGTCAATGTTCTCTGTGATCCTGTCTAACTCTACCATAGGCCTGTAAACTGATCTTTATGCAACGCCCCCCCCCCCACACACACACACAGAAATCAAACTCACTGACTCACAGTCACCCTATAGGGCAGGGTAGAACTGCCCTGTTGGGCTTCTGGGGCTCTAACTCTTAATGGAAATAGCCTCACCTTTCTTACAGAGTGGCTGGTGGGTTTGAACCGATAATCTTGTGGTGAAGCAGCCAGTGCATAGCCCATTACACCACCAAGGCTCCTCTTTATGTCCCACACCCTTGAAATTAAGATAGCAATTTAGATTAATACTCTTGGTTGGAGCTACCAAGTGGTATTTCACTAGTTCCTTTGAATGAACGAGGCAGTATTTTAACAAAAAAGTCACACAGGCATTTTTTTCTGCTAAAGCCCTTTCCCATGTTCTGTTATTTCATGAAATGCAGAGTCAAAACACAGTTACGATTTACAAAGAAGTATCTGTGACTATTCAGCCTTGTATGCCTGCCCTTTTTGCTTCTCTCAGTCTTAAATACTTTCTCAGGCTCACACCTACAACCCCAATCTAAATTCAAAAATTCTCTCTGATGGCTGCTTTACACCAATCTCTACTCCATGGCTTCGAATCAGGTCCTTCAGGTTTGCAAAGCTGAGACGGTGCCTTCCTACCCAATAACAGGACCTCTCACAGGTGATTTGTGTGTACCTGGAGCTTGTGTACCTGGAGCGTCTGGTAAGCATCACAGGAGGCTCTTGTTAAAAACTAGGTTATGATCTAGTACATCTGGGGTTCAGCGCGCGTGCGCGTATGCGTATGTGTGTGTGTGTGTGTGTGTGTGTGTGTGTGTGTAAACCAGAATAAGCAGGCGTGTGTGTGTGTGTGTGTGTGTGTGTAAACCAGATTAAGCAGGCTTGAAACCCAATTGTACGCACCCCAAATATTACAGCCCCAACCACACCTTTCTCAGGCTACTGGTATGGACATGGTCCACCTTGCCATCGCTGCTAACAAAACCCTCATTTGTTCTTATTCCTTCCTTGGCTTCCATTATCCTCTGACAGTCCAGGTTTTTTTGGGTTTTTTTCTCAATCCCTCTGGTTCCCCTATCAGGCCACTTCGGCCCTCTTCAGGAGAGGTTCGGGCACAGTGAAACAAAAATGTGCCAAGTATTATGCAACGCAGGCCGCAGATATTCTCATGTAATCCCCATGCTAATACAGAGAATTAGGAATCACCCCTATTTTTACATTTGGAAAAGTGAAGCTTAGGGAGATTAAGTCATTTGCCCGAGGTTGCAAGTAGGAATGTAATCCAAATCCTTTGACTTCAAACCCATACCCTCAGCCATTCTGAGCGACCGCCTCCAGAAATCTCGGCTCAATGCGTGGGAAGGAAAGTTTCCTTAACCCAGGGAGTCTGTTTCGTTCTGCTTTGTTTCTAAACCGGAACAAAACGGGGGGTCCTGCACAAATGCTGGGAGCTTGCCAGCCCAAGTACGGCAAGGCCACGGGCCTGCAGCACCCTCACCCCGCGCCGCTGGAGGAAGGCTCCACACTGCTGCAGCTCCGCGGAAGAGGAGCGCACGTGCCTCTCCCAGCAGGAATGGATGGGAAGCTCGGAGGGAGACAGGCTCTGGAGACCAGAATGCCGGTAGGGAACAGGAAGTTAAGAGATCTCGCCCCTATTGATGTCAGCACCCCTCCCCTCTACACAGCCCAGCAGCCCAACCTCCAAGGCTTTGTAAAACAGGGAGGGGAAAAAAAAAAACCCAAAAAACAAAACCAGGGAGGTGGGGGTGGTGCGAGGAGAGGATGCTTCCAATGTGGCAGGTAGCTGCCCACCTCCAAAGATTTCCAAAAACTCCGGCGACAAAGTGATCATCTGAAAATCAAGGCGAAGCAATGCTTACTAAGGAGAAGCCCACGCCGCTCCCAAAGCACAACCAACTTCAAGGGGTACAGACGGGTTTATGAGAATAAAAGATGTTTCAGAAGTGCTCATCGGAAGACACAGCCGGCCACCGCCCCTTCCTCCAGCGAGGGGCTGCAAGTCCATTTCCTCAGTGTAACCGAAGAGGGAGGCGGGCACCCCACTGTCCCCCATTCCTAGGGCCTAAGTCCAGCACCTCCCCGCGTGCCTGGCACGGGCTGGGGGGGCTGTCCTTCACCCCTTCTCGCACCAGATCTAATTCTCCTCCTCCTCCTGCCGGGAGGCATCTCTCTCCCCCTGAACTTGGCCCCTCTCCCACCTTCCCAGCTCAACCTCACCCCATTCAACCTCTCCCCTACCAGCCCTCCCTCCTCCCCAGCCGGCCGCGCTGCCCTCAGCTCCGCGCCGCCCAGCCGGCGCGCGGTACCTTGAGCGTCACGTCGCACAGCTTGCCCTGCCGCCTGATCTCCTCCATGACTCCGTAGCCGCGACTAGGCAACTCGGACACGGAGAAGTGCACCAGGTCCTCCAGCTCCTCCGCGCCGTCCTCCACCATCTTCCCCCGCCGCCTCGACTGCGCAGGCCTGACCGGCCGGCCCGACACTCTGCAGGGCGGGGCGAGGGCGTGCGCCCGCTGGAGCGCGGAGCGCGTTGTCGGAACGGGACGGGCCTGCGCGGCCGCCGTAGAGCAACTCCTCGGCGCCGGAAGCCCTGAGGCCCCGCTTCCTGGCTTAACGCAGCCTCCGTTCCTGCGCTGTCCCGACTCTTGCTCCTCGCGGGCAACGGCTGCAGCCTTCCTAAATCAGTCGGTGCCATTTCCCGTCTTCCAGTTTGGCCCTGTCGTCTTGGCTGAGGACCACGGACTTCATTTCCGCCACTACTCGAGACTTCCGGAACCCCCGGAAGTGGCCGGTTGCCATGGCGACAGTGTACACAACCTGTCAGCCTCCCATGGGGCGTCCAGGTCGCTTGCCCGGCTTCAGCCGTACAGCGACCCGTGGCACGCTCCGGCTTCGCGAGCGGTGAGCAGGGGCCACGCGGCGCCGGGGGGTGGGAGCGGGGGCTGGGCAAGGGTGTGCGCCCGCGTGGTGGGCCGCAGCGGGGGTCCGAACCTCGCGCCCCCTGGAGTCCTAGGGCTTAGGCTCGCTCATTTATGCAGCGAGGGCAGACAGCACAGCATCCTGGCCGGGGCTTGGGGCGCGGGGTGCTTGAGGCAAACGTTGCGTTGGCCTCGCGAGGGTCTCACGTCACGCCTGCGGTCCAAGGCGCGTGAGGCGGGGGAGCCCGAGGCCATCTGTTCTTCGGCGCTCGTCGGCTTTCAAACTGGAGGGCGCTTCGGGATCGGCAATCCGAGCCTTTCGCTTTACCGACGATGAAGCGGCTTCAGAGAAGGATGGGAGTGGGCTCAAGAGCAACTGCAGCTCGGCCTCTAGGAAGGGGTCTGGTACGTTGAGTCACAGAGGAAAAAACGCTAGTTCTCTGGGCTTCTTCGCGTCTGTGTGCGGCGCTGGGCTGAGCGAGGTTGGGCCCGAGTTCAGATTTCAGTAGCTGCCGCCTCTGTAGCTGCTGGGAGTGCCGGATGAGGGAGTCGCCTGGGCAGGGGATTCTGGTGAAGGGCAGAAAGGCAGGGGGTGCCCCTGGCGCCGACAGCTTGAGCCGTCAGTCAATCCTTCTCCTCTTGTGGAGCCTTCAGTAGTGCTGGACGTTAATTCTGACCTCTCTCACCCCCAAACAAACGAGAAAACAGAGGACTCCTGGGGGCATCTCAGAAGCTCCCTTGCCTGAGAGGGGCCTTCCCCACAAGGTCACGAGTGGGGGGAGGGTGCTGCTAAAACAGTGTAGAGAGCAACTGAAGAAGGCTTCTGGCAAGTGAAAGGGTAGAAACCAAGTGCCCTAGAAGGGTGATGGGCACTTGGGCTTGAAGGTGGTCTGGGAGGGCAGTTGACACATGCTCCTTGGGGTGTGAAACTAAACCCCTCTTTCAGTAGTGACAGAAGATGGACTCACCACCGGTGGAGATGCCTCCACCCTCTGACTTCCAGCCATGACCATCACCACCACCAGTCATCTTTTTTGGTGCACCTGCTCTGCCCGGGACACTGTTCTGGATGTTGTGGGGGGAGTCAAACCATTTAAAAGGCACAGACCTTGCCAACAAGCAGCTTGTCATTTAAGTTGGGAGCTGAAACTCATTCCAATGAAGCGGCGTAAGAACAGTAACAAGCGGTATTTCAGTAAGTGCAAGATGGCGTGGGGTCCCCATGTCTGGGTCTGGAGGGTCTGCTGAGTAGGGTGTGGGTGTTAGGGAAGGCTTGTTGCATGTCCAGAGTCCAGGGGTGGGCTTTGGGAAGTGCAGATGGAGGCAGCTGCATGTGCATGTGCTTGTGGCAAAATGCAGGGCTATGGGGGGGCCGCCCTTGGGAGGAGGGTAACCATTCACACTGCCTGTGTTGCATTTCCTTGTGCTGTTAATGGACAAGACCTCCTTAAAGAGAACCTGCCTCCAGAGCTTCCCTGCTTTTGGGTTAGTACCTGGACTCCCTGGGTAGGCAGGATGGGTCTCCCACGGTTGACATGGAATGAAGGGCAGACCTTGAGCGTGTTTCCTTGAGCCAAGGCACACCTACATCCCTCCACCATCGAATTCCCAAAAGCCTAGACCAGCAGTTCTCAACCTGTGGGTCTCGACCCGTTTGGGGTCGCCCGATTCATCACAGTAGCAAAATGACAGTGATGAAGTAACAATGAAAATAGTGTTATGGTTGGAGGAGTCACCACAACATGAGGAACTGTGTGAAAGGGTGGCGGCAGGAAGAAGGTGGAGAACACTGGCCTAGACCAAAGTGAGCTTTGGTTTCCTTCCTTGAGGATACAGGTTAGAGCTGGCGGAGGCTTTGTACTTCTAGAGCTCAATTTTGCCCGCGCAAATATTAAAACATAAATTGGGCAGGCCATTATCCTTGCTTACTGCAATACATTTCATATTTATTTTCTAAAAATCAAAACATCTCAACAACCCCATGGCCAGGAAAAGCCATCTGTGACACACTTGAAGAATATAGGAATCATGTACACACTCTGCGATAGATAAATATGTCAGGGTGGCATCGTGGGGTAAGTGTTGGGCTACTAACCTCAAGGTTAGAAGTTTGAAACCACCAGCCGCTCTTCAGGAGAAAGATGAGGGTTGCAGCCTCGGAAACCACGGGGGCACTTCTGCCCCTGCCGGTAGAGTCACTACGAGTCAGAATCGTCTCAATGACGGTGAGTTTGTTTTTTTGAGTGTATGTTCGCTTATTTGATTTGAGGGTCAAAGGACTTATAAACAGGAGTTTGATTAAAACAATTAAAGTTGCATTTCATCCACACGGAAGCTGTGAACCGTCTATTTAACTTGCTGAAATCGAGTTTCTTCCTGCCACCTGAGCCTAGGTAATGCAGCTTGCCAGTGGGTCAGCACAAGTTGTCTCTGGAAATGTGGAAGGACAGGAATAATTTTAAAATCTGGAGTCATCGGGGTTCACACTGGTAAAACCTCTCACACAACACACATAAAATGTTGGCACTTTAAACATTCAACATGCTTTTTAAAATTTCTAAAATCAGCAAAAAGGTAAGAGAAGGAGTTTATGTCAGGCACACAGAGTAAAGGTCTCGAATATTAGTTTTAAAAGAGTGAGCACCACCTCAGTGTATTTCTGAAAGTGCTCAGTGTAGTACATGTAGGCTGTTTCCCCTTCTTAACAATGTTGATATTGCTCTCTTCTGATTTGGAGATGAAATGGAATTAGCTCCCTTTCCCCAAACTCTTGTCATAAGTTCTGCAGATTCCTCTGCTGATTCTCTTTTACTCAAGTTCTCAAGTCCTTTCTCCGGCCCCAAGGAAGAACAGATTGTTTTAGGGCCAGAAGCCTCCTTTCATGTTGAACTACTCAACCCAGACAAGGAAGATCAAAAGAGAAACAATGCATCCTGACCCCTGGGCCTTGTCTCCACTCAAAGTCTGTTGTGTAGCTCTAATGCTAAATGAATTCTTACAACCGTTTTTCTTTATTCTCATAGTTCTCTCAAAAGGCATGTTTGAAACTTGAGAACCCAATCTGGGGATGATACTACTAAAATTATAAAAGGAACAAAACAGGATCCTAGCACATTAGACAATCTTAGAAAGGGAATTTTATTTACATGTGAAAGTCGAAATCTTGGAACTATTTTAAATGGTATTGTGTTAATTTGCCTAATGCTTTGAACAATCAAGTTATATATTTTAGAAACCATGTTTTCTAATATTCCTTAACTAGACTTAATACAATGAGGACTACAGATAGATTGTTTTCACTTAGCTTATTTCAGAACTGTCAGCATTTTCTTTCAATAGTTCATCCTTTGGCATCAGTGTAGATCATTGTTATCAAAGTGTGCAATCCAATGTGCTGGGGGTACTGGGACGGTCCAGGGGGCTGCAAAAGCAGATCCCCATACTTTGTCTTGGATTATGAACTATAGTATAAAAAGTTTTCAATTGCCAGGGTGTGCTGAGTAATTTTTTTTTTTTTGGCCTATTGGTGGGGTGGTAGGCCAAATAAGGTTGGGAACCCATGGTGTAAATAATGAGACACCTGGAAAATTGATTAAGTTGGACATTCCCTTGAAGCAATTAAAAACAGTATAATTATCACCTGTATTTAATAATCATTTTTGCTCCTCCGTGCTATGTGAATGCTAGATCCAAAGTTGGCTGCCTAATTAGTATTACATATTTTTACACAGACAGCCCCAAGAGAGCGACGTAGTGTGAGTTGACCAATGGGGCTAAACCCAATAATAGATCTTTTAGTTATTATTTGGAAGATTGTGATGCAATTCCATCTTTAGAAATGCTTACAAAATATTTTCATTAGAAAGGATCTTAGAGATCAGTTAACCTACTCAGTGCAACATTCTCCTTTGCAGGTGTTTATGGTTTTTACCTTGAGAAGATCTTTTCCAAAACCAAACGGTGCCATCAAGTCATTTCTGACTCATAGTGACCCTATCGGACAGGGTAGAACTGTCCCTGTGAGTTTCCAAGACGACAATTCTTTAGGGGAGTAGAAACTCCTGTCTTTCCTGAGGAGTGGCTGGTGGTTTTGAACTTCTGACCTTATGGTTAGCAGCCCAACTCGTAACCACTACCCACCAGGGCTTCTTCATTTATGGAATGGCTCTCAATATTAGGAAAACCCTTTAGCTAAACCTACCATCCTGTCATTTTTATCTGTAAGTTTTCATCCTATACCAGATAAAATATATTTAACTAATTTTACTATAGATTTAACTCATTTTACTATAGATGGTAATTATATGTAAATAAATGAGAAGATAAATGCAGTAGATTCTTCTTATTCATGCTAGTTATGTTCGGTATGTTGCAAACACTAAATTAATGACTACTGAATCATTGCTTTTAGAGGGGATTACAGGGTTGGGTTCCTGCAACTGGTTGGGTTCATCAACCAGTCAATACATAACCTTCTCTAACACACTCATTTTCATGGTCAGGCATGTCACAACCTTCTTGCACTTAGGAACACTAGACTCTTACTATGTGTGATATGGGCCCCCCTTTAAACAGTGAACCACCAGGCAAAAGCACAAAAGTGCCAAAAAGACAAGAAACTAAATAGACAGCAAAAAAGGGACACTTATTTACAGTTCCCTTAACTTTTTTCATAAATTCAGCAAGTTTATGAGAGTGAAGTAAGACATACTGACACCTTGTTGGCCCTCACTAGGAATTTGCATATCAGGCATCTCAATTTTTTTTTAACTGTTCTGTGCATGTCCATAGAAGAGCCAGGAGTATTGATTTGGGCAAACTGGAATAGATTTGCACAAGTAGGTGAATTCACAAAGGACTCTTTGAAGAATGGGGATCGACTGTATATGTGTGGCTGAAAACAGATGGTGGGGACGGGATCACAATGAGTTTGGGGAGGAGGTAGGAAGAGTCTGCGATTTTTCTGTTCATAGAGCAGTGGAGAAGAAAGCTTATTTGATTATGGATTAGATTAATTATTAGCATTGTATACTCTAGAGGAGATATGTCTGGTCTGTTGAGGAGAAAAATGTGTTTTAATGCTTTTCACAGTGCTTTCGAGTAAAATAATAATGCATGAGTCAAAACAGGTGGACTCTAGATACAGAACCTTTCTGGAAACTACGTCTGAGATGAGTCTGCTAAGGAGTGCGTTCTCTGTGCTTTATCTTGAGACTTTCTTTGGATCATGAGTGGAACATGAAGCCGCCCTGGTGTAAGGTGACCAGACGTCCCACTTTTGGCGGGACATCCCGATTTTTAACAATTTGTCCCATGTCCCACGGCATTTTTAAAAAGTCCTGATTTTTTTGAAAGAATGCACAAGCTAGGGTATACGGTTTTCGGCTGCCATGTGGCTATTTCGCCAGGATATGAGTTTTATCAATGGTGTCCCGCTTTACCAATGTTAAAATCTGGTCACCTTACCCTGGTGGCACATTGATCTGCGAGCTACAAAGTGAGCGGTTCGAACCCCTCCATCGCTCCACAGACGAAAGACAAGGTTGTCAACTCCTGTAAAGATGCAGTCTCAGAAAACCAATGGGGCTATTAAATCTTACAATACAGGGTCTTTATGGGTCATATTGGACTCAGCAGTAGTGAATTTAGTGGGAAATGGTCAAGCAGCCAATGAGGTAGAAAGGACACATCCTTACTGAGCCAGGTTCTGTGGTCCAACCCACAGCCATCAAGCCAATTCCAACTTCTCGTGACCCTACAAGACAGGTTAGAACTGCTCAGAGGGTCTCTGAGGCTCTCAGTCTTGATCGAAGAAGCCCTGCTAGTGCAGTGGGTTAAGCGTTGGGCTGCCAACCACAAGGTCAGTGATTTAAACCCAAAAGCTCTGTTCCCTGCTCTGTTGGACAGGCAGCTCGATGGCTTCGAAAACCCAGTGGGACAGTTCAGGACTCCCACAGGGTCACTGAGTGGGAATCAACTTGGTGGCAAACTCAAAAAGCTCAGGGCCACGGAGTCAATTCTACCTCATGGCGACCTGAGAGGACGGTAGAACTCCCCAGTGGGTTTCTGAGGCTGGGAAGCTTTCCTGGAGTAGCAAGCTTCCCCCTTTTCCCTTGGCGCTGATGATGGTTTTGACAAGGTCAGCAGCCCAACATGTAACCCTTGAGTCATAGACAGTGGGTTTTAAGTCTTTTCAGAAGCAAACCGCCTTACCTTTCTCCCTCAGAACCATTGATGAACTTGAGCCACTGGCCTGTCTGTGGATGGAGCACTGAAATGTCAAAGGGTTGAAAGAAAGGCTGGCCTTAGCGGGCTAGGAACAACAGGACCTACTGCATGCTGCCCTTTTCTGTCTTTTCTGTAACTCCAAGTGATTTTTATAAGGGAAAGGAAAGGCTCAGGTCTGACAGTCTCCAAAAGGTATACGCTACTTCTGGAGAGCGGATGCGGCCATGCGGGGACCGCGAGGGCGCTTCGAGATGGAAGATGTGCACGCCACCCTTTTCTGAGCTGAATGAGCCACACCTCCCTTCTGACTCGCTGGAGGGTGACTACTGAAAATGCCATTGTCCTCTTCTTTTTAGCTAGAATGAGCACCAGGAAAAGAGTCCATGCTTTCGTCAGAGTCAAACCTACTGATGACTTTGCTCATGAAATGATCAGCTACGGAGAGGACTACAAAGTAAGTGCAGCGGGTCTGCTTTCCTCTGCCCAGGCCTGGCTCTGTCCTCCCTCGCTGCTGTCTGACACTGCTTCCAGACAACCCTGTCAGGAAGGACCGACACTGAGTTGGAAGCGGTTCAAATAAGACTCCAGTTCAAATAAGACTCCAGTGCCAGGTCCAAACTCCTCCCATCCCCACCCTTTCATTGATGAGGAAGCTGGGAAAGCTTCCCTTTCAGGTTGACTTTTTGGTCAATAAGTTTACCTTGAGCACAACAGAGGCAGAAAAACTGGTACTCAGACAGTACACGATTAAGAAAGCTTTCATTTACATAGTCTGGGGGGGGGATGGGTTTCATTGATCATGGTCAAACATACCAAAGCAGTGAGGGAATTTCGTGTCAAGAGAGCCAGAAACATTTCTCCGTCCCTATACCCTTGCTCCTGTCCTGAGAACCCCTCTGACAGACAGACTTGGGACAACGTGAGACTGGTAGGAGTCTTCGTTCAGCCACTGTGGGCAATTCTGAGTCAGTCTATGCGCCAAGCATTCAAAGGCAGGCCATTAAAGCGTTGAAGGTCCAGGCCACTCAAACAGAGATCAGCACCGCCCTGTGAAATGTGCCCTCCTGGATGTAGTTTCCAGAAACACCGACCACTTCCTGCGTGAAGACTGGGTCTTCATTTTGCTCCCTGGGCCAGGCCTTGGTTTCTCCGTGAGGGCAGTCAGTGCAAGAATTTAACCAGAGTCTGTTTACAGTAGCCGTACCAACTGACTTTCCCTGGGCACCTCTCTAAGCCAGCTGACACTTAGTGGAAACCCACTGATTACTGACAGGTTGAGCACTCTCAGTTTGCCCTAGTGAGTAGCTCTGCTGAGAAGTCCAAGGTCCTTTCTACGGCTCCCACGTCAGTCATCATCCCTCACATTGACCCATGGGTTGTGTGCGGAACTAGGTGTTCACGTGATGCTGAGCTGGGGGAGCCTCCCTGCCAATCACCAGAAGGATGGGCCTCCATCCCACGGGTCCCTGCAGCCTACTTCAAGGCCTTCCTGTGAAGCTGGTTTCACGAGAATAGGATGGTGTCGCAACCTCTCCAAAGGCACGCCCTTTTCCCATCCCAAAGCTGCCATCAGGAATACCAGCCCACCTGTGGGAGTCCCCCGGCCTTCCTTCCTCGGGTTCCTTTCTTTAATTCCCTGTAAGTCAGGCCTCAGCTGGCAGTGGCTTCAAACCCCCTCCCCCCAAAAACAACAACCCCGTTTCCTAACAAAGAACATCTCTGCTCTCTCTCCCTTCCTCGCCAGAGCATTGACATTCATTTAAAAAAAGACACCCGGAAAGGAGTTGTCAATAACCAGCAGACAGACTGGTCGTTCAAGCTCGATGGAGTTCTCCACGACGCCTCCCAGGACTTGGTTTATGAGACAGTCGCCAAGGATGTGGTTTCTCAAGCCCTGGATGGCTATAATGGTAATTCAGCTCATTAACCATTAACCCTGGCCTTACGTAAGAACCTGTAGAGCCCCTCCCAGAGGAAGATGGGCCAAGTATTCTGTGGCAAACCAGATAAAGTTATCACCTTTCTTTACTACACACTTGATTGCTTCTTCGTCTGTCTCCACGGTCTCGCAGGTGGAAACGATGTGCTCGGTGCAGTTGTGGGCCTGGTGCGATCC